ACCTCAGCAACCTCAGCCATTGTGAAAAAACGTGTAAGACCTCGAATTACCGGCACAGGTACACAGTTCGAAAAGCGTGGTAAGGTTACCTGAAACGGCTCATTAGGGCCATTTATATGAGGAAAAATAAGACGCGTCTTAAATAAGACACGAACTGTACCATTTATACGAGCCGCGTCTTATTTTAGACGAAATGTGCCGTTTATACGGAAAGTTCGCGTCTTATGTAAGACGCGTCTTATTTTTCCTCGTATAAATGGCCCTATTGTCATTGGATGCAACAACAATCACATCGTATATTATCGACCATTAAGGGACGGATGGGGGGAGGGGGGGCGAAGTACCAAAAAAAAATCATGTAAGGGAAAATTAAGTGAAATAAAATTCATGCATGCAGAGTAGACCAGGAAAAAAATTCCTGCATTGGCCTTCCACAGATCTCAAGAAGGCAGGCGGGAAAGCATACTGTGTGCAAAACATGAGCTGTTTGAATAAACTTCCTGCTGAATTTTGGTCTTGTAAATAATCATACCTGATACCAAAAAATATATCTGAGGCTTGTAAGCTTATTATGAATTTTAATAGCTGGCAATTTCAGAAATAATTATTAAATAACTTTAAATAGTGATTAGGGCTAAGACATGACTATATGATTAGGGTTAAGTCCTGAGATCAGTGATTAGGGCTAAGAACCGACTCGAAGTATGGTTAGCTTTTATTTACCGTTAGGGTTATCACTATCAACCGCTGTCTAGCGTTCTGCAAAATACACCTGCCGATTTATCAACATAGTAATAAAAAGATTAATTTCTTCAAACTGTGTCAGAATCTGTTCATGTTTGAGCCTGAAACATTCCTGCCGTGACTTAATAATGCTGTTTGCATGTAAAATTTCAGCAAAGCAATATGAACTTGCACAGTACCAATGTACGTACAAAACAGGATACCTTGTGTATAAAAGGCCATTGTGAACTGTACCTTATAATTAGAATATGTATCAATTTACTTTCGCATACGTGCCCAGGTAGCCTTATATATTTAACTTATGCCCTTGGCTAAGTGAACAACTGAATGATTTAATGTTTTTTTTTTGTTTAGTGTTACTTTGAGGAAAAAGATATTCGTGCACAACAACTTGACAAAAAAATATTCATTCAAGGGAAACACAAAAGAAAAAACTTAATCATGCTGCTCGAAAATTCCCCGCCCCCCACCCCCCCTTAACTTTTCTAATGGTCCGTCCCTAACTGTCACAAAATGATCCACAAAATGGTGTAATCATTTACCGTTATGTCTCAAGACTTCTAAATATTAACTTTTATTGACCTTTATGATCTACTGTGTTTTGTTTTGCGTATTGTATCGAAAGGAAAGCGCAAATAAACGGTACCGTAATACCGTGAACAATATTATTTCACCGAATACCGTCAGCCAAAATGATGAAAAACCGCATACCGCAGAGCTAGATGATACCGCAATACCGCACGTTAAAATTAAAATTACCGAAATAACGCATGAAAAAAAGCCCCATACCGCAATACCGTAAACCCCGATGTCCCCCCTCTTCAAACCACTACCACTTATTGGCGTGAATGCATGGAGCAAATACAATTGTCGATCCCCGAGTGAAAACCCATCCAGAAGGACACTCTTGGGAATCGAACAAAAAAAATACATAAACAAAAGTCTTACCCGAATCTTCCGAGCTAACAACGATGACATCGGTATCTGTAAGATTTGCGGAAATGACGGCAAGTCACCGGTTTGAATTACAGAGTGAAACCAAAGACGATCATCAACAATCAAGGAAATTGAGGAAATGTCTCCCTCGTACCCGTTGTAGGAAGCCGAAAAGGGTTTTATTTTAAGTCACTTAACCTGAAAAAGCTTCTTCTACTAAAAAAATTTAAATAATCGTAGCAATATAATACAGTTATAGAAAGAAACAGCTTACCTTCCTCCATTGTGCTCGCTCCCTCGGGAAAAATTTTACTAGAAAGTTAAGGTACAAGTGAAAAAAAATAACACTCAGTCTGCACAGTCTGCACGGTCTGCACAGTCTGCAGTCTGCATGGTCTGCGTTTCAACATGACCGCAATCCTATTTAATAACTCGTTCTTATTTTAATGACGATGGAGTGGACTGAAGATCACGATATTCCACTTGCTAAAAAAGTTCTTATAAGTGAGCACTACCGCTTCAAGCCCAGAGCTGTGTAGGCTCTATTACCAGCCGTAAGAACTGTGAAGCGTGCGAAAATTTGGCAATACGTAGATCGCAAATAACGTCAAATAGGCTCTGTGGAGCTACGAACATTCACTTTCGAGCAACAAAGCGCTTAACTAGATTTCATCGTACAAGAGAAAGAATTTCTCATGTGATATGACACCATCATAATTATAAACGTCAAACAAAAGTTCTCGGATCTCTTTCAGGGAACTCATTCTCAAACCTTCAATAAAGTTAAGAAAAGTCTTTGACCGTCACCTCTACGTACTGAAACCTAAAACCTGCTTCTTTCGCCAAGTCGACGTCGGCCCTCGCCAACCTGTCGCGGCCAAAGTCACCGTCCTCTATGTAGCCGTCCAGCTAAACTGAAGGTCGGTATTGCCTAGACCACTGAGCGATACCCTCAGGGAGGGAGGGATGGGACAAGAAAAAGTTTACAATCGTTTTAACGCGTCAGCTGGCTAGAATCGCATAGTGACACACACCTGACTGCAGCTTGGATATATACATGGGCTTAGCGCTGAACTTCCGTCAATTGTATTTAATCCTGATAAAAAGGTTTATCGCCCACAACAAAATTCATGTTGCAAATCATTAAAGCATTTGTGCAACCAGTACCCTGTTGACAGAGTCACACAAAATTATATACCATGTTTAGGACAGAGACTGTCAAAAACCTTACCCTGTAAAGCAGCACATCCCGTACCCTCCTCACCTAGGCACCCAGTTCTCTAGCCAGTTTACTTAGCTTTTTCCTGGTTAATTCACGCTTTTCTGATGAAAATGATTGAGAGCAACCAGCAGCAGAAGGAGGCAAATAAAGTTTTTCCAGAACGCGCTAACGCTCTCGAGAAGGTTGTGCCCGGGGGAGGTGGAGATACTCTCTTATATAACCCATACAGGTATGTGCCGGCCCAAATGGTGTGTTTTTTTTCGCCGTTTTGGTTTGACAACGGGTATAGACTTATCCCATTTTGGTCCTGGATCGGGTATGGTTTTCGAGGAAGAGTATGAACGTATTTGACGATTCAGAATGAATAAGAAAGAGAGAGTAATGGGCAAATTCGAAAAGTATTTAAAGAAATCTTTTTGTTGGCGTCCTAATCTAAGTAATAATGACTTAAACGTGGGAATTTGGAGAACCGGGCAGTACACCCCCACCAAGAAATCTCGTGGTGGGGAGGAGGGGGTACTTGGGTTAATTTTTGCTGGGTGTGTGCCACTGGCCCCTCGGAGCCCCTACTTCAGTATAGTCTGTTCTGTGACCAATTATAGACTCCATATTAGTCACTTGTAGGCAAATATGTAATTTTCGCGATCCATTTAAATTTTATGTATCGTGACCTTATCAATCTTTTTAATAGATCATCCTAAAATGAATTGACCCATTTCTTTTAATTTGAATGAAGAACACTTTACTTTTCACGTACAGGACAAACATTCTGGTATGTTTGCTAACCGTAAATATAAAGAAATGTCTTACCCAAAAAATCAGAAAATGTGCGACCCCATTCTAGTAACTCTATTGGAAATGCAACCCCCATTATAGTCAATCCAATCGTGAAAATGCGACTCCATCCAGCAGCACATCCCCATTAGCTTCTTATAAGGAAGTACCCCGCTGGGCAAGAAATCCTAGGAGTATCCCCCTGGAGGCAGTGATGATGCCTTTTTAAAGTGAGGGCAGCCAGGGGAGGACTTCCTTATTTGGCTTTGATGGGTATGTGCCACCTAATAGGGTATAGTTTTCAGTCACAATGTAGTGTCTTGAACAGGTGGCTGTCGATAGAACCAGGAACCTAGAATATAACCGAACAATTCTTGCAAGGACCACTTGGGCAAACTGCAGCAAGAGACAGCTGGACTTTGGTAACAGGATCAGCAATATAGAATAATACTCTAAATTGAAGGCAAGCTATGGTTTGGTAATTATTTATTTGCCCAATACTTTAGTTAGACAAAACTACCTTTCATCAGGGTTAGCCACTGATGAGGTCTAGTTGGGCTATCCAGTTTTTTTTCTCATGTAGCCATAACAATTAAAAACAACAAAGAAAAAGTGGGATCACAGTCATCATTTTGGTTTCATTACAAATGGACTAAAAAGGGACACTATAGGTGTGAAATGATCATTTTGTGGAAAGTAATGGGGCAAGGTTCAACACCAACACCTTGAAGAGTTATCACAATCACTATGAACTCACTTGGACAACAAAAAAGGGCCTTTGGTACATTTTATAACAAGGCAAACAGTGAAAATCACTGCCACCTTTCACATCACAGTGTTATGAGCAGTAGCTGATACACAATGCAAAACAAGAGAATTACATTGTGTAAGGATACTGGAGTAGGTTGCCAAGCACCAAACACCAGGTCCCAGTGGTTCAAAGGGTGGATAACACTACAATAATTTCTATCCAATACATGCAGATAACAGAATTATAGGTTTCCCTAATACTTTTACCTCATAAACAGGGATGTGCTAGATGGCACTAGCTATCTTTTGAAAAACTGGGTCTACGTCTATAAATGCCATCTTAAGCACTTAACACTAGTAAAGGCATTTTACAAGAAAGTTTCCATGCTTATCACCCCAGCTACATGTACACTGTTCCTGGAGACTAAATTTTTTACATCATTCAGTACATAATTTAAGTCAGCGACTTAAATGTTTCTGTCAAGCTGGATCTACATTCACTACTGCTGCAGATCAAACCAGGAACAAATAACAAACCAAGATTTAAGTAGAAGTAGGACAGTTTGGTTATCACTTAGTCCAGAGGCTTAAGTTTGTTTATAACGTTTTTGCTGAGACTCGCAGAACAAGCTTTAAATCTCTTCTCTTTCTTCATTTCTTCTTGACTTTCAAATCTTTCAACTGGTATTTGTGATACCTCTGTCCAGTCATTCTTCTCTGAATCAAACATTTCAACAGTCAAGCCTCTTATGTAAGAACCACCATTAGTAACTGAGGTCCCACCCAGCAGATAGAGTCTCCCTTGAAAATGCACCATGCTTGCACTGAGTCTAGGTACCCTGAGACTAGGCATCAGCTGCCACTCATTGGTAGCAGGGTTGTATACTTCACAGGAACTGAGCATATCATAAGCCCAGATTGCCTTTATGCCTCCTGCAATGTAAATCTTGCCATTCATAGCAGCACCAATAGAATTATATCTTGCTTCATTGATACAGGCAAGTTCTTCCCACTTCTTGTCCCTTGAATCATATCTTGATGTTCTGTGGGTGTCCCTCCCATCTATTACGTACAGGAACTGTTCATCAGTAACAATGCAAGCTTCTGGCTGGTTAAAAGGCAAGAATTCCATTCCATCCCAATTATTACATTCCACATTGTACCTGTAGATCTGTCCTTTGTTATATGCTAAACTTAATGCATATAAGTCACCATTTAAAACAGTGCAATGAGTAATGTTAATGCTAGCTGCAGCCCCTTTAGCTGCTGCCCAGGTGTTGTTGTCTTCTAAGTATTCCATCACCCTTGCCCTTGCTTCATCCACCTTATGTGATCCTGCATCAAAAATGTAAACTTTATGCTTGTACTGGGCTGGAGTGAAAGTGCAAAAGTCATGTTCAAACAGTGTGTCTGCCATCCTGTGCCACATATTTGTCTGTGGAAAGTAGCACAGTGTCTTTCTTCCTCCACAGAGAAAAATCCCCTCAACATGTGTCACTTGGCATTTCCTTGGTTGGTGAGAGGCTTCCCCATCATTAGAACTCAGCAATGATTTAATAACATGTATCATAAATTGTGAACAAAATGCTGAGTTTTTAGTGAGCAGCTCCTCTTTTACCAGCTCAGTAAGAAGAAAGTCATGAGACACAAATGGCAGGCGAACTTGGTGCAATAATTCAGGTAAATTTTCTTCCCTTCCACTCACGTTGTGAGACACCCACTTTACAATTCCTTTGAAAATGTCCTCCTCGGCATTTACAATGACATCATCATTAGACACCCACTCCATAACTTGCTTCTGATCAAGTTTGAGAAAGTCCTCTGTTTCCATGACAACACTGAAATTGGTGTTGATCACTTCACGGCATTTTTCCTTCAGCTCCACACACTCATACTTATCAGCAAAATAATAATTGAAAACACAGTTCTCTGTTGACACAGTCTCCTTCAAAACATTGCCCGTCATTGTTTTTAGGCTTGGCAAAAGAAGAAAATTTGCAGTTGCAATCAAATTGTGCGCTCTTTCTTCAACGACTGTGACATTCCCAGTGTAAAGGTACTTTAGCGCGTCTTCCATGACAGTTTCAGTGGCTTCTTCTAGCTCTACTTTGATCAGTTGTTCGTTGCTCTCTTTCATGTCGCTTGTCAGAAGTGTCAGAAAGAACGGACTAGCTGCCGCTAAAACAGCTCTGTGAGCTTTGAACTCTTTGTCCTTTACTGCGATCGTCACGTCACAAAAGCTGTCGTTGTTCCTTAGGATATCCAGACGCTCGAGAAGCTCTTGACGATGTTTGGAAGGATCTACAGACATCGACTCAGCCAAAGACTCCATTTCGAAGGATGATGCGGAAGTGAACGTCCCTACCCATCAAACATTGCGTGGAAAACTCTTACCGAGAAAGCACTGGGGAAAAGTTCATTACCAGATCTCACGCTGACACTATCCACAAAATACGATTTATATTATATGGCTGAGTCTGTTTTCGCCATGCAATTGGTCAATTTGCGGTCCGTAACTTGCTATATGGACCAAAATTTTTAAAGAAAATGCTCCTTTCGGAGCTCTAAATCTCTTTACCTCCGAAAAAAGATTTAAATAACGTTATAAGACGCCTGTCAACCTTGAAGACTTGGATGTTGACTTTGGCCTTCAACATTTTCAACTGTGATTATTTGTGAACGAAGGTGATGAAGAAACTAACTCGTAATCTTATCGACGAGGATTCTAGTCAGTGTTTGAAAATTTTATCGTCGTACACAGTTAAGAAGACGAAAATCGACTGGCAAAGATTCGAGATGTTTTGCCCAAGAGAAAATGAGTAATTCCTTCAACAAATATGATAACAAACATACCTGCACCCGATCATCTTGACAAGCTTCTTTGCCATTTGCGGTGTTTTTTCAAAGACCAACGAAAGAAAGACAGAAGTGAGCTCGAGCCAGACACATGCAGTAATGTCCAGTTTTCAAAAGACACCAGCGTCACATTAACGAGTGAATACTTACAGTGCTCTTAGTTTCCACCGAATAAACTTTGAAATATGTATGTAAACCCTGAGGACTGGGATGTTGACTTTGCCTTTCCAAATTTTAACCTAGCTTTGTTTTAATGAGAACGAAGCTGTTGTAGAAACTGAATCGTAACCTTACCGAGGAAGAGAATTCTAGTCAGTGTTTGAAAATTTTAACGCAGATCACAATTGAAGACGAGAATGAACTGGCAGAAAGAGAGGTTTTCCCAAAAACAATTAACGAGCGAATCCTTCGACAATGACAACAAACTTACCTTGAAAAGCTTCTTTGCCTTTTGCAGTGTTTTTTCACAAGGACAAACGGAGGAAAGATGGAAACGACTTCTAGACAGACACAGTGTCCGGTTTTCAAAATACTCCAGCGTTACATCAAAGAGCTTAAACTCACAGTGCTCTTGGTTTTGATCGAATAAACTTTTATAACATGGCGAATTTGTTTTTACTTTCTCGGAAAGCCTTTGTTACGTGCTATTGTTTTCGTGCGCCAATAAAAACTTTCTTTTTTGACGCCTGTCAAAATCGCGCGTCCTTCTCTTGTTTCCGGTCCCCCAAACAGGAAGAAGCCATATAATAAACATCTTCTTAGCCTTGTTTTTTTGGTCCGTACTTTACAGTACGGACCGAAAACTCGGCTAATAAGAGGTATGGATGTCGCCCATTTTCCCAAACTAGAATTTAAGCGTTAAATTCATCCGTGTTAATCTAAACTACTGGAAACCTGAAGACTTTTTAGCTAAAATTTCACAACTGCCTTAATCAGTCCGCCGTAAACATTTGATTACATGCACTACGTGTGTAATCTCGTACCCAGATCTCACTAAGTGTGTAGAACTGTGAATCCACGTTACTACATAAGGCCTACCATTCAATCAGATCAAAATCAATAATCAATAACATCGATATAATAGTCAATAAAATCAATAGCAATTAATTTATTGATATTGAAAATCAGTAAAAATCAAAGCCGCATTCTTGAGTGATTTTCAATTTATGCTGTCGCTGTGGCTATATGGCCGGTAACCGGTCATGATCAAGAGTTGGCCAAGCTGGCCTCTTTCAATGAAAACTTTGAATTTGAATACGTTACCGCGTTCTCCCGTCTACTTGGAAACGGAAAATACTTCCCCCTCCTTTACGTTAATAAACTAGAAATACGTTATTCGCAAAAACCTCCCGAAGCTGTAGAGGGTCAGCTGTAAAAATAAAGGGTAACTTGGGCAAAAGGAAAAAAGCCAAAGCAGAAAAAATGTATAAGAAAGAAAAACAATTGTTTCAACGCTTTAACTTAACTTTAACTTTAACTTTAACTTTATTTGATTTACCACAAAATACAAATAACGATAAAACAAGACAGTTACACAAAAGCAAATGAAAGTGGCGAGGAAGCCCAAAAAGAAACCATGAGGCTTATAGACATTGGGCTCCCTCAGAGTAAAAATAAAGTTAACAGTAACAGTAAGGCCAGGATCGAAGGTAAAATACAATGAAGGTAAGTATAAATTAACTAATTACATAGACTGAGTTGACAAAATATAAGGTATGGTACATGTAACAATAAGTATAAAAATAATATCAGACATGTGAAGAAATATAACTATTTACTACAAGATTTATAACTAATAATTCATATACATTTTTTTTTTCAATTTCGTTTTGATTAGGTGGTGAGAATTAGATTCTTTAATATCCTTTCCTATAGAGTTATAATAAGTAGGTCCTTGGAAACTGACAGAAAATTTACGAAGGTTTGTTCTACAAAAGGGAAGGTGAAAATCGTTCGCGTGTCTAGTGGCATAGCTATGGACTTGTTTGTTCTGAAAGAAAAATAATTGTTGAACTTTGAATGCAAAAGAGAATGGCTAAGAGAAAACATAAGTTTACCCAATTCTAGTTGTCTAATATCGGAAAGTTTTAGTAGCTCTAATTCTTTGAAAATAGGGTCTGAATGAGAATCGAAAGTTGATTTAGAAATAATTCTGATAACTCGCTTTTGCAAAGAGACAAGACGGCGAAGATTGGTTTTGTACAAACGCGATCCACACCCCGAGATTCGATTTCCGGGGAGAAGGGGTGGGGGGTTGGGAACTCCCTATGATGGCCTATGCCGGAGGCTCCACCCGAAAGGGGTACGTATCTTTTTGGAGCCTACCCTCAGGTATATGAAAGGGTAGGGATTTCACTAGTTAAAGAATTATAAAAGGGTACGGAAATCTGTCATTTGGGTCTGTGAAAGGGCTAACAGATGAATTTTCTGGCTTTATGAAGTCTGTTGATTCCTGTGTAAAATACAGTGCATTTAAACAAGGTATGTGAAAGAGGTACCATTTGTCAATATGACATACACTAAAGGGGTACCTTTCTTGGAAAAATGGTATATAAAGGGGTAATGGGTTGGACTTCAGGGCCCGGTGAGGGGGGTACTCTCCTATAAAATTATCGGGGGTGCTGGTCGTACCTTTTAGGGGTTTAAATTTGTAGATTGGTAGCGCTTAGGGTGCTAAAACCTAAACTGACTGCTGACAGAGCTGTCTCTGTACATTTTAGGGCCCTGCAGTAAGGTTACTCCCAGCCTTTTTTCTTAGGGCACCCAACCAAAACCGCCATGCTACGCAGGCTATATCGATCTGAAAAATGTATTTGTGCCAGTTATATAATTTGTTGATGTTGAATTGGTACACCCATAAAACAAGATTCTGGTACCTTCTAGGGGTGTTCTCAAAATTTTGCGATGAGCATACCCCCGTCACTTTTATAGAGGAGTGCCCCCCAGGCCTTGGGGCAGAGCCTCCCCTTATAAACATTTGTTGAGTTCCCCCCTCTCCATAGCATTTAGCCTACATAGCAGGCGTGAGAAAGGGAAGGGGAAGGGAATTGAGGGCGCGAGACCACGCGAGGGAGGAGGGGAGGAAGGGAACCTTCCTCCTTTTTTTTATCCTTCACGCACTCTCGCACGCCCAAATTTCCCCTTCCCTTTCCCCTTTTAACGCCTGCCATGCAGGCTACATAGGACTCAAATCTTCATTATGACCACCACCTGCTCCTGATGTCTGAGGCAATTGACAATTTCTTTCTTTGGCTGGAAAATTCCAGCTGAGTATTACAACAACAACAACAACAACAACAACAACAACTTTATTTATTTCTAAACCCTAGATACAAATTAGACAAAAATGCACATCACCCACAAATAGCTTAGAAGGCTAATCAAGGTGGGTTGAATAAAAATAATTGTTTACATTATTATATCACTCTTTGCTTTAGCTTTTCCATCATCCAATAATTATTACTTTAATATTATTTATTACTGCCAAACTCTACAGTTACCAGTCCAAGTATAACGAGTTCTTTCACAAAGTGACTTAACAATGGCAAGCAATGAGAAAAACTTGTGTGAAACTTAACATTGGTCTAATCTCAGTAAGAATTGTTTCACTATTTGTTTGACCTATCTTTTTGTCTTTTGCATGTTGCTAGTGCTGGTGTTAGTAAATTCGCTTTGCTGGTTGTTAATGCTTTCTTTTTCTTTAGCTATAACACTTCCTTTTTTATTTGAATTATTTTTAGCATTTACCACGGGCGTTCTTTTTTACTTTTAATAAATTATTGCATAAAAATACTTATTTCTGTGTATTGGATATTCTTGTAGTAAGTCTAAAATATTTTAATATTTAACATTTTATATTTCACATTTCTTTGTGAAAGGAAAACAAAATAAATATGGAAAAATTATCTGATTTTCACCCAGTTAATATCAAGACAAAAATCTGGCGACTGTTTCAAAAACAGGACTTGCCCTTTGATCCTCTATTTTTGTTTTGTTTTTGTTTCTTTTTTTTTCCATAATTAAAAAATGCCACCAAGCACTTCTGGTGAATTTTTTTTTTTTAGTTTTTTTCTTTTAATCCGACCGACCGACCTAATATCAGGGAACGCATTCGACTCTAAACGAAAAAAAAAAGGGGGGATGGCCTTATAGACTTTGGTATACTTGGAGTACATAAATACACAACAACCCTCTTTGGGGCTTGCTGGGTCTTTATTGCCTAGACCACCGAGCGATACCCCCAGGGAGGGAGGGATGGGACAAGAAAAAGCTTACAATCCTTTTAACGCGTCAGCTGGCTAGAATCGCATAGTGACATACACCTGCCTGCAGCTTGCATATATACATGGGCTTAGCGCTGAACTTCCGTCAATTGTATTTAATCCTGATAAACAGCTTTATCGCCCACAACAAAATTCATGTTGCAAATCATTAAATCATTTGTGCAACCAATACCCTGGTGACAGAGTCACACAAAATTATATACCATGCATGTTTAGGACAGAGACTGTCAAAAACCTTACCCTGTAAAGCAGCACATCCCGTACCCTCCTCACCTAGGCACCCAGTTCTCTAGCCAGTTTACTTAGCTTTTTCCTGGTTAATTCACGCTTTTCTGATGAAAATGATTGAGAGCAACCAGCAGCAGAGGGAGGCAAATAAAGTTTTTCCAGAACGCGCTAACGCTCTCGAGAAGGTTGTGCCCGGGGGAGGTGGAGATACTCTCTTATATAACCCATACAGGTATGTGCCGGCCCAAATGGTGTGTTTTTTTTTCGCCGTTTTGGTTTGACAACGGGTATAGACTTATCCCATTTTGGTCCTGGATCGGGTATGGTTTTCGAGGAAGAGTATGAACGTATTTGACGATTCAGAATGAATAAGAAAGAGAGAGTAATGGGCAAATTCGAAAAGTATTTAAAGAAATCTTTTTGTTGGCGTCCTAATCTAAGTAATAATGACTTAAACGTGGGAATTTGGAGAACCGGGCAGTACACCCCCACCAAGAAATCTCGGGGTGGGGAGGAGGGGGTACTTGGGTTAATTTTTGCTGGGTGTGTGCCACTGGCCCCTCGGAGCCCCTACTTCAGTATAGTCTGTTCTGTGACCAATTATAGACTCCATATTAGTCACTTGTAGGCAAATATGTAATTTTCGCGATCCATTTAAATTTTATGTATCGTGACCTTATCAATCCTTTTAATAGATCATCCTAAAATGAATTGACCCATTTTTTTTAATTTGAATGAAGAACACTTTACTTTTCACGTACAGGACAAACATTCTGGTATGTTTGCTAACCGTAAATATAAAGAAATGTCTTACCCAAAAAATCAGAAAATGTGCGACCCCATTCTAGTAACTCTATTGGAAATGCAACCCCCATTATAGTCAATCCAATCGTGAAAATGCGACTCCATCCAGCAGCACATCCCCATTAGCTTCTTATAAGGAAGTACCCCGCTGGGCAAGAAATCCTAGGAGTATCCCCCTGGAGGCAGTGATGATGCCTTTTTAAAGTGAGGGCAGCCAGGGGAGGACTTCCTTATTTGGCTTTGATGGGTATGTGCCACCTAATAGGGTATAGTTTTCAGTCACAATGTAGTGTCTTGAACAGGTGGCTGTTGATAGAACCAGGAACCTAGAATATAACCGAACAATTCTTGCAAGGACCACTTGGGCAAACTGCAGCAAGAGACAGCTGGACTTTGGTAACAGGATCAGCAATATAGAATAATACTCTAAATTGAAGGCAAGCTATGGTTTGGTAATTATTTATTTGCCCAATACTTTAGTTAGACAAAACTACCTTTCATCAGGGTTAGCCACTGATGAGGTCTAGTTGGGCTATCCAGTTTTTTTCTCATGTAGCCATAACAATTAAAAACAACAAAAAAAAAGTGGGATCACAGTCATCATTTTGGTTTCATTACAAATGGACTAAAAAGGGACACTATAGGTGTGAAATGATCATTTTGTGGAAAGTAATGGGGCAAGGTTCAACACCAACACCTTGAAGAGTTATCACAATCACTATGAACTCACTTGGACAACAAAAAAGGGCCTTTGGTACCTTTTATAACAAGGCAAACAGTGAAAATCACTGCCACCTTTCACATCACAGTGTTATGAGCAGTAGCTGATACACAATGCAAAACAAGGGAATTACATTGTGTAAGGATACTGGAGTAGGTTGCCAAGCACCAAACACCAGGTCCCAGTGGTTCAAAGGGTGGATAACACTACAATAATTTCTATCCAATACATGCAGATAACAGAATTATAGGTTTCCCTAATACTTTTACCTCATAAACTGGGATGTGCTAGATGGCACTAGCTATCTTTTGAAAAACTGGGTCTACATCTATAAATGCCATCTTAAGCACTTAACACTAGTAAAGGCATTTTACAAGAAAGTTTCCATGCTTATCACCCCAGCTACATGTACACTGTTCCTGGAGACTACATTTTTTACATCATTCAGTACATAATTTAAGTCAGTGACTTAAATGTTTCTGTCAAGCTGGATCTACATTCACTACTGCTGCAGATCAAACCAGGAACAAATAACAAACCAAGATTTAAGTAGAAGTAGGACAGTTTGGTTATCACTTAGTCCAGAGGCTTAAGTTTGTTTATAACTTTTTTGCTGAGACTCGCAGAACAAGCTTTAAATCTCTTCTCTTTCTTCATTTCTTCCTGACTTTCAAATCTTTCAACTGGTATTTGTGATACCTCTGTCCAGTCATTCTTCTCTGAATCAAACATTTCAACAGTCAAGCCTCTTATGTAAGAACCACCATTAGTAACTGAAGTCCCACCCAGCACATAGAGTCTCCCTTGAAAATGCACCATGCTTGCACTGAGTCTAGGTACCTTGAGACTAGGCATCAGCTGCCACTCATTGGTAGCAGGGTTGTATACTTCACAGGAACTGAGCATATCATAAGCCCAGATTGTCTTTATGCCTCCTGCAATGTAAATCTTGCCATTCATAGCAGCACCAATAGAATTATATCTTGCTTCATTGATACAGGCAAGTTCTTCCCACTTCTTGTCCCTTGAATCATATCTTGATGTTCTGTGGGTGTCCCTCCCACCTTTTACGTACAGGAACTGTTCATCAGTAACAATGCAAGCTTCTGGCTGGTTAAAAGGCAAGGATTCCATTCCATCCCAATTATTACATTCCACATTGTACCTGTAGATCTGTCCTTTGTTATATGCTAAACTTAACGCATATAAGTCACCATTTAAAACAGTGTAATGAGTAATGTTAATGCTACCTGCAGCCCCTTTAGCTGCTGCCAGGTGTTGTTGTCTTCTAAGTATTCCATCACCCTTGCCCTTGCTTCATCCACCTTATGTGATCCTGCATCAAAAATGTAAACTTTATGCTTGTACTGGGCTGGAGTGAAAGTGCAAAAGTCATGTTCAAACAGTGTGTCTGCCATCCCGTGCCACATATTTGTCTGTGGAAAGTAGCACAGTGTCTGTCTTCCTCCACAGAGAATAATCCCCTCAACATGTGTCACTTGGCATTTCCTTGGTTGGTGAGAGGCTTCCCCATCATTAGAACTCAGCAATGATTTAATGGCATGTATCATAAATTGTGAACAAAATACTGCGTTTTTAGTGAGCAGCTCCTCTTTTACGAGTTCATTAATAAGAAAGTCATGAGACACAAATGGCAGGCGAACTTGGTGCAATAATTCAGGTAAATTTTCTTCCCTTCCACTCATGTTGTGAGACACCCACTTTACAATTCCTTTGAAAATGTCCTCCTCGGCATTTACAATGACATCATCATTAGACACCCACTCCATAACTTGCTTCTGATCAAGTTTGAGAAAGTCCTCTGTTTCCATGACAACACTGAAATTGGTGTTGATTACTTCACGGCATTTTTCCTTCAGCTCCACACACTCATATTTATCAGCAAAATAATAATTGAAAAGACAATTCTCTGTTGACACAGTCTTCTTCAAAACATTGCCCGCCATTGTGTTAAGGCTGGGCAGAAGAAGAAAATTTGCAGTTGCAATCAAATTGTGCGCTCTTTCTTCAACGACTGTGACATTCCCAGTGTAAAGGTACTTTAACGCGTCTTCCATGACAGTTTCAGTGGCTTCTTCTAGCTCTACTTTGATCAGTTGTTCGTTGCTCTCTTTCATGTCGCTTGTCAGAAGTGTCAGAAAGAACGGACTGGCCGCCGCTAAAACAGCTCTGTGAGCTTTGAACTCTTTGTCGTTTACTGCGATCGTCACGTCACAAAAGCTATCGTTGTTCCTTAGGATATCCAGACGCTCGAGAAGTTCTTGACGATGCTTGGAAGGATCTGCAGACATCGACTCAGCCAAAGACTCCATCTCGAAGGATGATGCGGAAGTGAACGTCCCTACCCATCACACATTGCGTGGAAAACTCTTACCGAGAAAGCACTGGGGAAAAGTTCACAAGTTCATTACCAGATCTCACGCTGACACTATCCACAAAATGGAGGATATGCGAGGATGTCGCCCATTTTCCGTTAATGTAAACTAACTACTGGAAACCTGAAGACTTTTTAGCTAAAATTTCACAACTGCCTTAATCAGTCCGCCGTAAACATTTGAGTATATGTACTAAGGGAAAGTTCATTTAATATGACAAGGGGGAAGATGAAGATATTGAGGGGAGGCTCCGATAATTTTGAGACACCCGAAGGGGAGGCTCTGAAAAAATTGTTGCGCTAGGAGGGGGGGCTCCGAAAATTTGTATACTTCAAAACCAACACATGACATCATCATACAGATCGGATGGTTTTCAACTCATCAATTTAATGACCTGTGCAACCCAGCTATATCACGTGGTTTACAGATATAACAAATGTAGTCTCAGTAATTATTACACTCTTGTTCATCCCAAAAATGCTTTAGAAAATTGTATCACAACTGTATCTCAAGTTTGTCATAGTATAAACCATTGAAGACAATAACGGTAAATATATTTAATACAGTCTAGCGATCTTTTTTCAGGGGAGCAAAGGAATTGAAGGAGGAGGGGGGGGCTCTGAAATTTTTTCGACTACCAAGGAGGGGGCTCCTAAAAAATTGAACCGCTAGCGAGGGGGGCTGCTAAAATTTCAAGCTTCGAGTTTCAATATCTTCATCCCCCCTTTGTCATATTAAATGAACTTTCCCTAAGTGTGTAGAACTGCGAATCCTAGCCTGCGAAAACGGTCATTATAAAATATAGACTGCGGACCGCGGACTACGGACTGCGGACTGGGTATAATATACGGACCAGGTATAAAACGCAGACTGGAAAATATGGACTGGGTATAAAACACGGACAAGGTATGAAACGCGGACTGCGGACTGCGGACTGGGTATAAAATACGGACTACGGACTACTTTGGTAAAAATGGTGCTAATTAGTTCTAGGTAAGGAAAAATAAGATCAAAAGATCGCTAAATAGCAAGACACGTGAGTTACGGTTGCAAATACTCCTATAAATTCTTGGTGGAGGTGTCCAGCCCGGTTCTCTGAATCATGAGCCGGATCAAAATGCTATTTTCTTCACTCATTTTTAGACCCTGTCTTGGTCTCTAACAATCATGAAATGGGTCAGGATCAGGGGTGGTATTCCCTTATATAAGGGAAGGGTAGCTTTTGGGCCTTTTTGGTGTGAAAACACTTTGCCCATTTTGGTGTGGAATCGGGTATGGTTTTCGAGGGAACTACGGGAACGTACATAAATGGACGTATTTATCGTTTCAATTCCAAATGAATAAGGACGAAATAGAAATGTGCGAATTCGAAATGCATTTGGAGAATTTTTTTGTTTCCACTCTAACTTTGTAATGATGACAAAATTTCTGCCTGATTAGACCTAACCTGTTCAAGGCTCTGAGATGGTTGGGTCCGCTGAATTGAGAAATCGAAAACACGAAAATAAAACGGGAGAAAACTGGGGAGTCTCCCCATTATCTGAGAGCCTGGAACAGGCTAAATTAGGCCAGGTCCGAAAATGGGTATGGGTTTTAGAGATCTAGTCTGAAAACGGGTGTGGAAAATGACATTTTTTTGTCTGCAAATAGGTCAGGAATCGGAGAACCGGGCACCACACCCCCACCAAGAATTCCCAGTAGTACCCCCCCCCCCCCTACGGGGATCAGGAGCAGGGTGTAAATCATGTCATCATAATCATCGCTTAGAATATAACGTTGGATGACTCATTTCGGTTATCATTCACGTGTGTGAGTAATCCCTCCCCCCTAAATACTGCTTTTGTGCACCGCGGGAATGCCCTACATTGACCTTCTGATCTGAGTTCTTCATTCAGTCCTCACTTCCCAATTAAGGCTTTATTTGAAACGGAATTGTGGCATCCGATAAGAATTTTACTGATCTGACTAACACCAATACTATTTTTTTTAATTCGGTGCTCCTTATTGATTTAAAACTGCAAACTGAAATCTCTTCAAACTCCTTTTTATAAAATTCAGAGTTTAATTTCAATTGCCTTGAATACCGGCATAACCGTCCTTCTCCGTGGGAAGAATAGACTACGTGAACAGCCAAGGGAATGTTTAAGCTGGGACTACTGTTTTTGCTAGTCCGCTTTCCATTCTCTCAGTTTTACCTTCTAAAGCTGTTTTTATATACATAGTCCATAGTCCGCGTTTTATACCTAGTCCGTGTTTTCTACTCAGTCCGGAGTCCTCATTTTATACCTAGTCCGTGTTTTATACTCAGTCCGGAGTCCACATTTTATACCTAGTCCGTATTTTATACCCAGTCCGCAGTCCGCAGTCGGTGTTTTATACTGACCGCCTGCGAAAACAACCGTTTCTCCTCGCTCTTCGCCGCTGGGGACGTTTCGCGCGGAGGAACGTCTGCGACTCAGCTACAGAAATTCCATACTGATGACGCAAGTCAATGTTTAGATAATAAATCCGGTAGTCATGGGGTGCCAAATGTAAATTTGTCCAATTTTACGTGTCTTGTGGTCGATTTTGGAAAAGTGTTGTGTTCATCTGCAACTTAATAAGCTCCAGCAAAGCTCAAATGCTTCTTCTAGAGAAGACTATATTCCACAAATATTGACTCTTTTGTTAGAAATTCTTCTCGTTTACATCTGATCTTTGTGGCCTTTTGTCTTCTGTCTGTCATTCGTAAACAATAACTAAAACAATGTAACTACTCCGTCGACCAATCAGCACTTTTGACCGGATTCCGGACAGATTTTACGTCATCAGTATGGAATTTCTGTCGCTGAGTTGCAGACGTTCCTCCGCGCGAAACGTCCCCTGCGGCGAAGAGCGAGGAGAAACGGATGTTTTCGCAGGCTATGTGAATCCACATTGCTACATAACCCTACCATTCAATCAGATCAAAATCAATAATCAATAACATCAACAATAGTCCATAAAAATTAATAGGAATTAATTTATTGATATTGAAAATCATTAAAAATCAAAGCTGCGGTCTTGAGTGATTTTCAGTTTACGCTGTCGCTGAGGCTATATGGCCGGTAACCGGTCAAGAGTTCCGCTTGGAGATGGCCAAGCTGGCCTCTTTCCTGATGAAAACTTTGAATTTGAACACGCTACCGCGTTCTCCCGTCTACTTGGAAACGGAAAACACTTCCCCCTCCCTTACTTTAAGAAACTAGCAATACGTTATTCCCAAAAACCTCCGGAAGCTGTAGAGGGTCAGCAATAAAAATAAAGGGTAACTTGGGCAAAAGGAAAGAAGCCAAAGCAGGAAAAATGTATAAGAAAGAAAAACAATTGTTTCAACGCGATCCACACCCCGAGATTCGATTTCCGGGGAGGGGGGGGGGGGGGGGGAACTCCCTATGATGGCCTATGCGGGGGGCGCCACTCGAAAGGGGTATCTTTTTGGAACCTGCCCTCGGGTATATGAAAGGCTAGGGATTTCAAGTTGACGTATTAAAAAAGGGTACGGAAATCTGTCATTTGTGTTTGTGAAAGGGCTAACAGATGAATTTTATGGCTTTATGAAGTCTGTTGATTGCTATTTAAAATACAGTGCATTTAAACAAGGTATGTGAAAGAGGTACCATTTGTCAATATAACATACACTAAATGGATACCTTTCTTGGAAAAATGGTATATAAAAGGGTAAGGGGTTGGACCTCAGTACCCGGGGGGGTACTCCCCTATAAAATTATCGGGGGTGCTCGTCGTACCTTTTAGGGGTTTAAATTTGTGGATTGGTAGCGCTTAGGGTGCTAAAACCTAAAATGACTGCTGCCAGAGCTGTCTCTGTACCTTTTACGACCCTCCGTAAGGTTACGCCCAGCCTTTTTTCTTAGGGCGCCCAACCAAAACCGCCATACTACGCAGGCTATATATATCGATTTGAGAAATGTATTTGTGCCAGTTATATAATTTGTTGCTGTTGAATTGATACCTCTTAGGGGTGGAAATGAATTTGGGACACACCCATAAAACATAGATTCTTGTACCTTTTAGAGGTGTTCTCAAAACTTTCTGACGAGCACCCCCGTCACTTTTATAGGGGAGTACACCCCCCAGGCCTCGGGGCAGAGCCTCCCCTTATAAACATTTGTTGAGTTCCCCCTCTCCCTAGGATTCAAACAAGCATTATGACCACCACCTGCTCCTGATGTCTGAGGCAATTAACAATTTCTTTCTTTGGCTGGAAAATTCCAGAGTATTACAAAAACAACAACAACTTTATTAATTTCTAAATCTTAGTTAAAAATTAGACAAATATGCACATCTCTTGCAAAAAGCAAAGGGTAATCAAGCTGGGTTAAATAAAGATAATTAATTACATTATTATACCATTCTTTGCTTTAGCTTTTGCATCATCTAATACTTACTATTACTTTAATATTATTTATTACTGCCAAACTTTACAGATACCAGTCCAAGTATAATCAGTTCTTTCACAAAGTAACTTAGCAATGGAAAGCAGAAAAACTTGTGTGAAACTTAGCAAGGGTCAAATCTCAGTAAGAATTGTTTCACTATTTGTTTGACCTATCTTTGTGTCTTTTGCCTGTTGCTGGTGCTGGTGTTCATAAATTCACTTTGCAAGTTGTTAATTGTTTTTTTTTTCTTTAGACTGCTAGCAGTCTCTTATTTTCTTTGCAAAGTTACTGCACGAGAAACTCAAGCACGCAAGTGGTGAAGCCGCAAGCCACGATAAATGAGGGCGTAAGCCCGAGAATAAAAAATAAGAGACTGCTGACCAGGGTTGTCGCTAAGATTTCAAGTTGTCGGGTAAATACAACAAGTGGGTGGGGAATCAAACGGCTAGAGATTTCTTATGGTTCTATTTTTCTTCTATTTTCCAATAAAAGTAGCCGGGGGCCACTCTCTTAGTAGCCGGGGAAAATCCCCGGCCCCCAGCTCTTAATGACAACCCTGCTGCTGACTGTTTTGTTCTGTCTGGGGACAACGAAGCTGTCAAGGTAACAATCAACCAATTAAACCTGATTAACTTGAAACAATTTATAAATACCAGTAGAACATAAACAACTGAAAAGTTTTACTTTTTTAAAAAATCCAGTAAGATTTCTCGAACTCCTTTCTCTTGAGGAAATATACAGCAGTTTCCTTTGGTAAGATATCCTTTAATAAACGTTTTAGTTTACAAGCGATTACCGCTAGGTTCATAATCAGTTGTTCGTAGTTAGTTGTGACATGTGACCATTTTTATCGCTTGCATCTCCACCACAGACCAGTCAATGATCTGTCAGCAGCTGTAAAATTGACCAATCGGTTACTCTGTTTCTGGGCCAGAGGGTTTGTTTACTACAAAAGAGTCCACAGTCCATCTTTTCTCGTCTGGTCCTAATCTCCTATTGTAACATAACATCGTGGTTTGCAATCGCACTGGCTGAGATAAGAACTAGACGAATTTTAAGAGAAAAGGCAGACTGCAAGCAGTCTAATTTTTCTTAAGCTATAACATTTACTTTTTTATTTGTATTATTTTTTTGCATTTACCACATGCATTCTTTTTTCTTTTAATTGCATAAAAATACTTATTTCTGAGTACTGGATATTCTTGTAGTAAATCTGACATATTTTAATATTTAATATTTCACATTTCTTTGGAAGAAGAAAACAAAATAAAATATGCATGTGCACAGGGAAAAATCATCTGATATTCACCCAATTAATATCAAGACAAAAATCTGATGACCGTTTCATAAACAGGACTTGCCCTTTGTTGTTCTATTTTTTTTTTTCATAAAAATGCCACCAAGCAAACTTACCACACGAAATACATTTTAGCGAATCAGCAGTGAGAAACAGTAAAAAAATCATTATTGAGTAATTTTATCCTGCTCATTGCCAAAAGTAAGAAAAACGTCTTCTACATCAACCATTGGAATTGGGTAACTTTGCTCTCTATGCTTTAAAGAATAACAACAAAGGAATGATGTGAGACAAAAGTTGATAAGACTACAAAATAATGTAACTGATACACATGTGCATTTAAAACAGGGGATCCAGGTCCAGTGGTTCAAGATCGCTAACCAGTTTTTTGCAGAGTCTTGCAACACAAGCCTGAAATCTCTTTCCTTTCTTCATTTCTTCTTGACTTTCAAAGTTTTCAACTGGTATCTGTGATATCTCCTTCCACTTATTGCTGTCTGAATCAAACATTTCAATTGTTAATGCTCTTACATGAGAACCTTTCCGGTTGACTCTGGTCCCCCCCAACACGTATAGCTCTCCTTTCAAACACACCATGCTTGCATTGTATCGTGGTCTTCTGAGCATGGGCATCAGCTGCCATTCATTGGTAGCAGGGTTGTACACCTCACAGGAGCTGAGTACCACTCGTTGGGGGCCCAGCCCTCCTGCTATGTAAATTTTGCCATTCACGGCAGCACCAAAAGCATTACATCTTGTCTCATTTATAGCTGCAAATTCTTCCCATTTGTTTTGCCTAGAATCAAATCTCATTGTTCTGCTTGTTTCTCTACCACCTATTATGTACAAAAACTGCTCATCATTCACAGCACATGGGTGCTCTTGTGCAAAAGCTGAGGATTCCATTGTATTCCAGTCATTGGTTTCTGCACCATATCTAAAGATTTGCAATTTTTCATACATGTAAGAGTAAGGGAAATATATTCCGTATAATTCATCACTTAAAACAGTGTATCCATTAAAAATGGTTGGAGCCTCAGCTCTTTGAAATGCTGCCCAGGTGTTGTTACCTTCGTAACATTCCATCACCGGTGAATCACCCACCTTATGTACTTCTGAGTCGAAAATGTAAACTTTACCATTGTACCACGCAGGAGTGAGATTTCCATGATCAAACAGTGTATCTGCCATCTCATACCAATTGTCATCTTCAAGCTGGGGAAAGTAACACAGTGCCTTTTTTCCTCCACAAAGAAAAATCCCATCTATATGTGTTTCAAGGCATTTCCGTTGTAGTTGAATAGCTTGTTCATCGGTTGTGCTTAGCTTTGTTTTTATGGCATCTAACACAAAATTCAAGCCAATCTTAGCATTACTAATGACTAGCTCTTCTTTTGGCAATTGGTTTAGAAGAAAGTCTTGGGATACTGATGTCATGCGAACCTGAGACAATAACTCTAGAAAATGATTCTCTCTCTCTCTCTTGTTGTGAGACACCCACTTGACAATTCCTTTGAAAATGTCTTCCTCGTCATTCACAGTGACGTCATCACGAGACACCCACTCCATAACTTGCTTCATGTCAAGGTTTAGAAAGTCATCTGTTTCCATGACAACACAAAATTTCGACTTAATCACTTCACGGCATTTTTCCTTCAGCTCCACACACTCATACTTTTCAGCAAAATAATAATTAAAAAGACAATTCTCTGTTGTCACAGTTTTCTTCAAAACATTGCCCACCATTGTTTTAAGGCTTGGCAAAAGAAGAAAATTTGCAGTTGCAATCAAATTATGAGCTCTCTCCTCAACGACTGTGACATTCCCAGTGTAAAGGTACTTTAGCGCGTCTTCCATGACAGTTTCAGTGGCTTCTTCTAGCTCTACTTTGATAAGTTGTTCGTTGCTTTCTTTCATGTTGCTTGTCAGAAGTGTCAGAAAGAACGGACTGGCTGCCGCTAAAACGGCTCTGTGAGCTTTGAACTCTTTGTCCTTTACTGCGATCGTCACGTCACAGAAGCTATCGTTGTTTCTCAAGATATCCAGACGCTCGAGAAGTTCTTGACGATGTTTGGAAGGATCTACAGACATCGATTCAGCAAGACACTCCATTTTAATTTTGCAGGATGATGCGGAAGTGAACGTCCCACCCCATCACACATTGCGAGGAAAACCCTAACCGAGAAAGCACTGGGGAAATGTTTGTTACCAGATCTCACTCTGGCACTCTCCACAATATGGCGGATAACTGCGAGTATGTCGCCAATTTTCCTAAACTTGAGGATTTATGCGTTCAGTTCATCCGTGTTAATGTGAAATACTGGAAACCAGAACAATTTTTAGGTAAAATTTCATGATTTCTTTAACCAATCCGTGGTAAAATAGCAATTATTTTTATGATGTGCCGAACAGTGAAACCACTATATTCTGTTTCCAGATCTTGTGCTTATATCCAAATTTCAAATTTTCCAATATGATTTCTCGTAGTTCTTGTTGCTATATTATATAGAAGCTTTCAATTTTCAAAATGGCTTGCTCACAGGTTGTTCATTAGTTTAAGATTGAACTTGTCTGTAATGCTATTCCTGTTTTTTTTTTCCAAGGAATTCCAGGACATGTTCTCCTACCAATTTTGGAAAACCTTGATCCTCTAGAGATTGAGAAACTTGAAGGCTCCAGTATTTTCAAAGCAATGAGTATGTTGGAAAAAAGTATCTTGTTAATAGAACTTTATACATTTAAAGTTTTATGTGTCACAGACCAACTTCATGAGTCTGCACTCTGGTGCATCAATCTTTTTAACATTTTTTTATCTATTTCTTTCCAAAAACTAATTGAAAGGAATTGACACTAATCCACTCTGGAGAAACATTTATACTGCAAAGTGGCGAAGAAAGAGTAAGTGGCCCGAGGTATACTTTAAAACGAAGGGAATCACACAAGAACAAGAACTTTGGAAGATTTATTACCTTCAAAGACTACTGCAAGAGGCTCTTAATGGATGTAACGTCAGTGGTTTAAAAATTTGTTCATCATCTGCAGGTACAAAATAATTATGATAATAATGAACTGTTACTAGTAATAACCAAAGGTTACAGAGTGCGAGCAACAATGATTGAAGGTCAAAACACTTTTGCTCCAATGATGTGCTGTGGGTAAGTTTCATGTGACAGATGGTCACAACATGCATGATCAGGTTACGAGTGATATAAGCTCTGAATGCATGTGATCAAATTGCATTTTAGGTTCATTCCATTCATTCTTAGTGGAAGTCCAAACGAATGTTGGCTGGAGATTAGGATTGCAGGCTTCTCTAATTGTACACCGCAGTAATAAATCAGTGTTTGAAAGATAATGCCATTTAAATAACATGTTCACTTCTTTTTCATTTCAGAAGGTGATAACTACAGATTGCAAAAGATAATTGTGCTTGTGCAAGATATGCCGCATATCTTAGGCTTTATAATCCATCAATTATTTATCTGGCAAAGAACTGGGATATTGTTGAGCAACTTGCTGAGTGTGTTGAATTTCTAGAAATTTTCATGCTTAGAAACAATGGAGTGGAGCCACTGTGTCTTCTCCTTCAAGTATTTATATCAAAGAGACTGAAATCTGTTGGATTCTGTTTTTGCAAAGTAAACAGTGTGGAATTGTGGAGTAAAATATTTTGTTCCTTGTTACCATTACAAGAAAATGGTTGCAACAGTACTGAGATAGAAAAGGAGGGAAGTGTTCCTTTTGAAGACAATGATAATCCTCATCAGTCCCTACCATGGAAATTAATTAGTGAAGTGGGAAATTGCACATCTCCTCCAAGTGTCTTAGGTGATGTCAACATTTATGAGTTTACTGATGATGACTTGTCGGTTTTTCCAAAGAGATGTAGAAAATTCTCTGAATCATCCTGGAGTAGTTGCACTGGATGTTTACCTCAGTTAGGCACAAGTGAAGCCTCTTCAAGTTCTAGTCCAGATCTCTTTGATGCAGTGTTTAACTGCTGTAACCATGGACGGGATTGTAAAGAAGTCCCAAGAGAGCTTTTGCAAGTAAATGACAGTCAACAAGACACAGATAAAACCTCAGACCACTGTCAAGTTATCCCTATAGCTACTAAACCTACAAAGCCACTTTCACTGTTTCACAGTTTATCAAATGTTGGCTGCTCTTTAGTTCATTTTGAGCTGACTGCCTTCTGGCTGCATCAAGATCTCCTTGAACTGTTTGTTAATAGTTTAAAATGTTGGACAAACTTAAAGTCACTGACACTTGAAGACAATGGTCTAAGCTTCCAGCCTCTGAGCTTATCACAGAAGTTAATGGATACACTTTATCTCCTCTGCACACAAGGAGAACTGCATTGCCTGAAAATCACAAATAACCTAGTGAGTGATAGTATCACAAAGTTTCTTGTGGAAAAATTAGTTGGTTCATTTTGCTGCAAGTGTAACCAAGAGTCCAAGTCTTTGACAAAGTTCAAACTTTCTTCCTTTCAAGTTTCTGAAGCCTTCTGTGCACATTTAAGAACAGCAATAAAAGATGTTTGTTTTTGTTCACTAAATAATTTAGAGACATCTTCTACACATAAATCCAAGACAACAGATAGTGAAGATTCTATCGAATCAGAATGCATGGATCTGGGTATTTCCTTGGGAAGTAAAAGAAAAACAAAATTTCAGGTTCCAGTTAAAAATAAGAGATTCACATGGCATATTAATGGTTCCTGTGTAAACAATGAAGCTGACAACTGTCAAGAAGGCTGCTCAATTAGGGAGACATGTTCTTGCCATGAAAGTTTCAATGAGCCTGGCAATGGTGACTTGAACTTCATTAACAAGAATGACAACTGTACAAAAACACCTTTTGATCAGAATTGTCCAGGATCTTTTGAAGCAGCATCAAACATGGCTAACTTCACAGAAATTCCGGCTTTAGATTCCAGTAAAATCATCCAGTTTAATGGCTTCAATTCCAAAGAGTTTGTTGGCATCCAAGAACTGCGATTGACGTGTCCAGTTGGGGATAGAGGAGCAAGCTTGATCTCTGATGGACTGCAAAGTAATAGCTCACTTCTTTCTCTCAGTTTAGTCAATTGTAATATCTCAACTGCAGGGCTAGGAGACATCTTTAATGCCATAACAGGTACGACTATTTTACACATTACATGCTAACAACACTGACTATAATCCTATTTACAGATTTTTTCAAAATATTTCAACAAGAGAGTGAATGGATGAGAACACAAAAAGGAAGAGACTTTATTGTTATTGTCGCTTAGTTTTTATGTATAGATCAGCTTAAGTAAGAAGAGAAAATTAATAGAAGGTACAACAGGCTATGATGACTGTGTTTAATTTAACATGCAATATTGGACATAACCCTTCAGCCTTAAGCCTTTTCTCAGACTCCGCAATTATATTTATCTAAAGGAATTTTACCGGGCTTTTAAAGTTACATATTACGTTTTCACTGTTGATCTCAATATTCTTTCATGGTATAATTTTGCTCTTTGATCAGGTCACAGATCTCTGAAACACCTGTCTGTCAAAGGCAACAGATATGATCCCAGTAGAAATAACAAGCTGGCAGAGATGTTAACAGTGAACAAAACACTCACAGATTTGAATCTCAGCAGTTGTGGACTCGGAGGTAAAGCTAAGAAAGTACTTCAGTGTTGACAATTGCCATTTTTCTGTTTAATATGTGTATTATTTGATGTTAGTTCTGCTTGGTACAATTGTATTAAATTTTTCTCTGGGTCGCTGACGTGGTTTTAATCCTCTTTTTAAACACCAACATTCTTAAATTCCTATTTTTGTTATTAGAGATGGAAAATGGTGTTCAAAGATTTGATTAGAACCTATGATCTGCAGGTTCCAGAACCAGCATTGTTGTTGTACGATTGTTGGCGTTGTTTTTTTTGTATAATTGTTTCAGTTATGAGGCATGCAACGTGGGGCCTCCCACTTGCTTTCACTCACTGAAAAATGGAAAAACCTGTTCTGCATGCTCCCAATCATCTGTGAATGCACTTCCATAAGTCTGGGGAAGAATAATCATTTATTCATATAATTATCAAAGTTATATGCACATGTCAGCACATTGTAATGGTTGACAGTGTAAGTCATTATAACATATTAAGCTTCGTGTTTTTCATTCTTTATTCTATATCAGTTTCAGATTCAGAGTTCTTTGGTGACATAATTCATGCCTTGTGCATCAACAGCACCTTAACAAGCTTAAAGCTGGGAGGAAACATTTTAGGTGAGCTTTTTCAAGTCTGTGCATGTAGTCAAACCTCAATTAAATCATCAAAACATTGCAGTATGCTGACTCAACCAGGGCTGTCTGCCTTCCTGGGCACAGGGTTGCTTCCCTGGCTAATTTCATTGAAGGAAAAGAATAGAAGGAAAATAGAACCAAACAAAATCCCACACCGTGAGCTGTTTAATTCCCCATCTACCTGTTGTGCATTAATAAAAAAATTTTCATAAACACAGAAATTTGAAAACTTAGCGACAGCCTTACACAACAGTACTTGTAAATTAAACATGGTCACTTTCTTCAAATACATGTAGATCATAATCACAAATAATTTTAGTTAAGAAATGAATGCTTATAATATACAGGGTAGTTGCTCACATTGGTTCACCGATACACAAGTTTGGCAACTGCTGGCATATATGCTCAGACTTTCAAATGACCATGCCGTAAATGTTATTGCCAACCCTAGAAAAAAAGTGTTGTTTTCTTCTTTGTTACACCATGCTTACTTTGTTGTGTGGTGTTGTTTTTGTTGTGCAGGTGATGCTCACATTGCTGTTTTATCACAAGTTTTCACTCATCCAAGCAAAACTTCAGGAATAAACAAATTAGAATTAAGGTATGTTGATGTAATAGTTATTATTTTCATCTACATGTATTAATGGAAGACTTACTGTAAAATTCCGAAAATGAGCCCCGGGGCTTACATTTTTCAAAGGCCCTTTTTGAGGGGCTTATTTTTGGAGGGGCTAAGGTGTACGAAGGGAAATTTGCGTTTCAAAATCGATTGGGCTAGCTTGTAGTGGGGAGGAAATTTACCATTTTTGCTTTGTTTTTACTTTGTATTTTAGGGCAAATTCCAAGTACATTAAGCCCCCTGGGTGCACATAAATTTGGAGGGGCAATTTAACAGAGGGTTTTCTGTGTTACAATTTTTTTGGGGGGGGCTTATAATTATTTGGAGGGGCTTGATTATTTTCGGAATTTTACGGTCAATCGCTAGTTTGTTTTATTATGAAAGATACTTTTTAATAAATAGGACATTATTAGCAAGTTGCTTCAAGCACCAGTCTTAAGGTGGGTGAATACAGTTTTGGCAGTTTGTGAGTGTATGTCATTTGCCAAATCATGGCAAGAGAAAGGTTGCAGCTCACAAGCTGAAACTTGGCAAGTAAAAAATATACTGATGAAAGATTTTGATTGTTTCCATGGCAACATGAACAATTGAATACAACCTTAACATTTCACTTTTGCTCAATTTACATGAAATTCGCACTTGAGATTTTCCTACAAAACTTATTTGACCAAATTTTAACAGACGAGTTTAGATAATCATACTATTATTGTACTGTATTAATTGTTAAATGTGTCACAAAATTCATCTGTTCGACTTCCATTTGACAGTTCTCATTATTTAAAATGCGATAAAAGTATAAATTCTGCCAAATGTTACAAAATTTTAATGAGTAGATTTGTAGAAATTGTTTTCTGTGTACCAAATGTTGCTTTTTTGCCACCATGTTTGTTTGTCCCATTTAAAACACGCGCCGTCACGCAAGTTACCCTTGACTGCCCGCAAAACTGTGTTTAGCCACCTTAAAGCAAGGCTAGTGCAAAGTCATTGATATGAAAACGATTTTTTATTCTCATGCTCATAAAACTCATTTTCAGTCAAGAAAGATTTTGCATTTAGCCTCATTTTAAAAGACTGTGGAGGCATGTGTGGCAAAGCAGTTTTAACTGCTAAAACTACTCCACCTCTGAGTCTGGATGTCTGGGGTTCAACCCCTGCCTATCACGTTGTTTCTTTATAGACAAGGAGCTTTACTCCACTTTGTCTCTTTTCACCTAGGTGTATAAATTAATGGGTACTGGCGACGTGGTGCTGAGGGGTAACCCTGTGATGGACCAGCATCCCATCCAGGGGAGACTAGCAATATTCTTAGGCATGCTTCATGCTAAAGAAACCAAAATAAGCTCCAGCCATTTGGTCCTTTAACTTGTGGGTGCCTTTGCCTTTGTAACCAGCTTCTTTTTTTGAAGTGAGAGTTTTTGGAACTTGGTAATGGCCTCTTGAGAGGAACTCTGTGAACTGAATCTGTGAATTTCAACAGTTACTGAGGTGCCCTGTTTAATGACATTTATGGGAAATTAAGATTTCCTAGTAACCCAATGCAAGAGCAAAAGCAAGCTACCAACGGAAACAGGCCAGGGGGCTGCTTGCACAGAACTGCAACATTACTGTAGCATACATAATTATGATCCAAAATTATAATCTTCCTTATTTATTTTCTTTCCTCCTCATAGCAACAACCCCATATCAGTGGAAGGTTTGTCAGTTTTAGCCTCATCTCTGGAGTGCATTAAACCAAGAAAACTGGATGAACTCAAACTGACAACAGCAAATATTCTGGGCTCAAAACCACATTTGCAGGTCTTGTCAAATCTCCAATGTGTGGTGCGCACTTTAATAGTAGAACACTTGGACAAGGCAACCTTATTTGCAGATTTCTTGAGTCAAATGTGAATGCAACGATGCCCGAACTTCATGCAGAACTTATGAGCACCTTCATCCATACACTTGCTGTAGCTGACTTATTTTTGAAAAACATTTCCCAGAAATTTCAGGGGTGGGAAATAATAATTCCTTAAAATAATGTTTACAGGGCTTGGGAAAAAAATGTGATCTGATGATCTTGAAATCTCCAAAACATTCTGTGATGAGTAGATTGAAGTCTTGTCTTTGTGTTTTTCTCTGTTCTTCAACTTTTGCTATAAAGGTTTTGAACAAGGATTTTTTAACCATGATTTTAAATAGCGTTCTTCATCCCCTTTTTCTACCTTTTTTTGGAGAAAGAAGGTCAGATGAAAAGATTCAAAGTTCAACATTGGAAATAAGATCAACGAGAGTGAACATTGACTTAAACTTGCACTTAGTTGAATCAACATTGTTTTATGCCTGAAAGACACCTATGCTGCAAATAAACATGTACACCCTAATGTCTAATGGTTTAAATAAATTTAGGAAGCCAATTTTCCCATTTCTTAATTGTTCTTTAAGCAATTTTTTAGGACTAAAGCATAATGAATTGTATTGCAATGAGTTATAAACATCACACGTGTATAGCAAGTTATATGAGATCGATATCAGTCAGTCATACCTGTAGTCAAAAATGCACAATTTTTATCTGTATCATATCTGTGGGGCTTTTGGAAATGTCTGTGATGTAATTTTGCTCTATTGCAGTAGTCCATATCGACGAATCCAAAAGTAGAGCATTTTTTAGGAGGATTAATTGTTTGCAGAAAATAAATAAATAGCCCAGTTTAAATGAATCTGGAAATTTTCTGCTTGTGGTATCTGGAAATCAGGGAAAATTTGGCTTGAAAATCCAGAATCCTGGGCTTTGGAATCCGGAATACAGCTCAAGGAATCCAGAATACAAGTTCCCGGTACTGGAATCCAGTACCTGTAATCCGGAATCCAAGACTGTCTTGGACTTCCTTACATTGGAACAATAAATAGCTGTAAATGGTGGTCAAGTCAAAGCAAATTAAATCAGGACCTTTGTGTTGACCAAACCTGTGTTGTCTTAATATTTTATGTCATGACCTCAGTCTTGTATTGAAAGTTTGCAATACTTGAAATATACATATTTAATAAGCGTTCCAATACCCAGAGTCATCTATCAAATTGTTAAACTGACTGGGTATACATATTAATTGTACTTTTAATTATAATTTGTGAAATGTTAGTCTATCCATGAATAAGAATGTTTGTGGATTAAAGAATATTAAGCTGTTATTACATGTCTATAATGCACTTGTTCATTGCTTGAAGGATGAAGTAAATGAATGTTTATTCTAAAAGATGGAAAGGATAGACTACTGTCTGTGCAACTGTGTGGGGTGACAGCTTTTGAGATTTTTCAGAATTGAATGTGTGCACAACTAAGACTGTGAAGACAGGTTGCTATAATGGACACCTACATGTTGAGTTGATCCCAGCATTTCTTTACTCCTTTTAGAACATAGCTATTAAAGTGGAATGGTTATGAAACCTGTAAGACTCCTTTGCTATGTCTTTTTGTTAGCTTTTTTGGACCTGACTGTGCACAACGTTCAATGGCATTCCTAATATTTTGAACTTACTGACCAATAGAAACATCACATTAAATTATTCAGTCTAGCCTGGGGTGTACACAGATGTTGTCTTATTTTTCTTTTTGTTCTTTTCAGAAACATCGGCGAGCTCGTGAGTGAAGTGAGCATGCAACAATGAGCGCGGAGCGCAAGAAAGAAAAATAAAGAAGTATTTTTTTCTTCCCCCACCACTACCCCCTTGTGCTGGGTGGACTTTGAAGAGAAAATAGAGTCTGTGAACAGGCTATATTCAGTCACAACTTAGCTTCCAACTTGAATGTTTGCCGGCTTTCATGACCAGTCTCCCTGACTGTAATAGCTATGTTTTTTATGACTGTCTGTAAGAATCTCACTCCGAATATGAAAGGGGTGGGGATGTTCGTCATCTTGCTTAGGGGTGTAAATTTCGGATTTTGGTCTCACTTAGGGTGTTCTGGGCAAACGCCGTCACGTTTAGCCGTGAAGGTCTCGTTTAGGGTTGCATGGGAAAAAAATGTAAAAATATTATATTGTCTGTGTTTTAACATGGTCTCTTTTAGGGGTCCAAAAAAGCTCGAGCCACGCCCCGATTGGTCTCCTTTAGGGGTTTAATTCAAAATTTCAGACGAGCATCCCCACCCCTTTCATATGCAAAGTCCCCCCCCCACCCCCAGAAGTCCACCTTAGAGAGAGTAGACGTAGTACCAAATTATTAAGTAAATACTCATTTTCAAGATACATGTAGTTGCACACATCTACATTAATTCAGAGGACACAATCCAAACTGCCTCCATCATCAAAGGTTTTGCTGTCTCCACACAGTGTTTTTCAGGACCTTGCTTTTGGCTTTACAGGAACTGCTATACATGGTGTTTCTTGGTGTTGCAAATACCATTGTTGAATTTAGGTATCATAGGAGCCGATTAGCTAAATTGTCTTGTTGTTATAATTTTAAATTATTTTCTAAAATTATGGGATAATAATTTGGCTTATTCAGAAAAGAAAAAGATGAAAATTTTAAAGCCCCCAGGCCAAAAATTAGCCTGTTTTAAAGGGCAAATTGGTCCAGGGAGATCGAAGCCTATTTGAGAGGTTTTGTATGGAGTCATCGGAGCATATATACTGGTGCACATATATCTCCCCCACCAATTTATTTGCACTGCAAAGTGTACATTTTTTATATTATTCTCTCTGGATATACCAAATTTAGTATTTTCAGCTTTATCACTTCTCTTTCTATTGTTCAGTGCCCTTTTAAGCAATTTAGTGATCACACCTTCAGCAAAACCAAGAGACTCGCATGTAGTAAATTGTAATCATATGAATGATCATGCAGTGAATTACCAGTGTCCCTCCTTGTCATACATACACCTCTACCCAATGTACTTCTACTTTGTAATTGATACTACTGACTGGTGAGTGTGTTGAAGAAAACATCTTTACCTCCTCCATGGAGAGTTATTGGAAATTCTTATAGGAATGGCGGATCTACAAAAAGTCCTCTTTGCCCTGTGGTACGTAGTTCATGAGCAAAAAATGCTCTTATCTCCTTCTTAATAATAATAAATATCACTTGTATTTATTGTGCAAATTATATTGTGCATATAATGATCGAGGTGCATAAAAACAAAACTATAAAAAACTACATCATTAAAGTTTACAAAACATTTATTGGACCTAATAAAAAGCTAGTTTAAACATTTCTTCTAAGAAACATTTTAGGAGTATTAATATTTCCTAAAAAACTATTGAAAAAATTACATGATAAAAAATTAACAAAAATATATAGGACCTATTAAAAAGCTAGTTTATTAACAAATGTGTTTTCAGCAATATTTTAAAAGTATTAAAATTTTTCTCACTGCGAATTTATTTCAACAGGCAAGCAGTTCCTCAGTTTTGGTGCCATAGCCAAGATTAGGCGGTCACCAAACTTAATTAATTAAGTGTCGTATAAGTAAAACCTCTTGGAGCTTGTAGGAGGAGACCTTTGTTTGACCTCAAGTTAATTTACCCTCCACTTTGCTGGATATTGTAAGGGTTTTAAAAATTTATCCTATTTTTCATAGCGTAGAAAAATGTGACTCATGGCCAGGAATGGCTTTCTGAGATGGGGCTGTGAAAGTGTCACTGAAAGAAAGCATCCTCCATGTCTTGGAACTAATTTATAAATCTCTAAAAGGAATAAAGAGAAACTGTTGATAAATATTAGTAATACATTATACTCAGGAAAATATTCATACTCTCATCTAAGACCATACCATGAAATTAGTTGAGAGTAATTGATAGCTATAGAGAATCATTTCATTAATTCATAACATTTCCTCTTGATTATGAATTCTTTGATACCTGGCAGAAAATGTTTCACTCTTGGGACATAAGGTCATACTAAAAAAAAATATTAATAAAGCTTGATGACATCTGAATTGTCTTTTGCATGGCGCAAAAAAACTCCCCAAAGAGGTGTGGACTTCAGAACTGGTGTTAACTATTTTGTAAAAAAATTAAAGGGCATCATTCAGGTATGTTTTAGAAGGGCATGCATCCCCATTCAGTACCCCATTTCAAGATGTGACATTCATTATTTCACATGACACCCCATCATACAAACAGGTGAACTTTGAATACAGTGGTGGATCCAGGGAAGGGGCCGGGGGGACCACCCTTTATTTTTGGATATTTTTTGGATATTATTTTTGGATACTTAGTCTTAGTTATTTTACTGCTGATTTACTGCTAATATTGTAAAACTTCTGTGTTCTCACATTATAATGATAAATTAAAAATTAACTGGTTTTAGAAAACAAGATCTCAACCAGGACTCTTTATTATCAATCAAAATACAAACATGTCCTTGACAAACTATGCTTAAAAAACACTATTAATTTGTATTTTCTTTGTTCACTTTACTCTTTCGAGACCTTCATTTAAAAAGTTGTTTCCTAAAGGTTAGGTAATTTTAAGGTACTTTTAAAAATGGGCATATATATATAATTACAGTGGTTGTTTACCATTTACAAAATCCAGTTGGAAAGTAAATGGGACACGCCTTTTTGGGTCGTTCCAGCAGAAAATTTCCAGGAGCAACGGAACATCTGAAAAGGTAGTCCTGTTTTCCAGACAGAATATTCCAAGCAAAAATTTCTGTTCCATTTCTTCAAAGCCATCTTTGATACCAGTTTCAGGCCTTGGTGGTCGTTTTCAGGTAAATGGAACTGATTTGTACAAATGGTAAGCGCGATTCCAGGATGAAATTTACCAGTCCTGTAATTTGCGTCCAGTTGCCTAAAGCGTGGATGACTGGTTTTGCCTTTGTAAATGGTAAACAACCAGTGAAACCTCTATTAAGCAGACCCCCAATTAAGCGGACACCCTCTATTAAGCAGACTCTAAGTCCCGAAATTGACATCTTATATTTCCCTTTAGGGTTCATAACTGACCCCTATTCAGCGGACACCTCTATTGAGAGGACGCGGACACTAAAATAAATTGTATTTGGCTAATCTCTATCGTTATTAACCTCTCTTAAGCGGACCCCCAATTAAGTGGATACCCTCTACTGAGCAGACACTAAGCCGGGTCCCAAAATTAACGTCTTATACTTCCTGGATCAATTTATGTTTCTAAGTTTTGGGGATATGAGAGATACTGGGTCCGTTTTATTAATGTCGTGCCCTATCTAATAAACGGGTATGGTTATAAGAAACCGGGCTCCGTTGCCCAGAAACATTGATCCTATTTCCCTTTATAACAAACCCTTATTCAGCAGACACCTCTTAGTATTAAGCGGATGCGGACACTAAAATAAATTGTATTTGGCTAATTTCTATCGTTAAAAACCTCTATAAAGCGAACACCTGACTGAATTGATGTCAAGGAAGTCTTTTTATTTTAATGGATCTAAACTTTTTAATAATATTACAAGTGAAATGAAGGATATTCTAAGTCCGTTATTTTTAAAACTCGTATTTTGGAATTATATAGATCAAAAGTTTTTTAGTTACGTCTTAAGTTTTTATCAGTTTAGCTTTTAAATATTGGACATTGTGTTTTTAACTTTTAATGTATTTTTAGTTACTGTAATATATAATTAGGCTAGTTTTTTATATAATTTTATATATATATGTATATATATATTTTTTTCAGGGCCCTCATTGATATCAGCATTTTATGATGGAGAGGTAACCCTGGCTAAATAACATATTATTTAGCATATTAATTATTATTATTATTATTATTATTTAGTAGTATTGGATTACATCCTTGAAATATGTACCATAGATGATAAATGAGATAAAAGATAAAAGTTCACGTAAAAGTCATACACAAAGTACGTACAGCACACAGTTTCCTTATCAAAATTGAACTTTACAGAGTAACCATCTGCACTGAATGTTAATCATTACCAAAATTAACAAACACTGCACAAGTCTTACAAACCTAAATTAAGCAGACACCCTCTATTAAGTGGACACTAATGGAAAGGTCCTAAGGGGATCCATAATAGAGGTTTCACTGTATTGTAATACAACATCTAAAAGCAGTGTTTTCCTTATCAGGCAGTAACCGGTAAAATATAAACTGCTTAAAGCAACACTTTATACCGCCTGCAACTGCTTGAAGGTTTACTAAAATTAAATAAATAACTGTTAATATTACAAGTTTTAAAAAAAATATGCAAGTTGTGATCCGATACAACTCTCACATTAGGAAATAAATGAATTATGGAAAAGTACCAAAGTATACAAAGCTTTTCTTTCTATGGGCCATGCATTTTGGAAAGTGAACATTGAAGACAGAGTAAAATAATTATGGGAATCAAGGTACGTTTTGTTGTCTAAATTAACAATTATTTGCATAAAATAGGTCTTAAAATGAGGGATTGACATTTCAGAGAGCTTAGCTCTTAAATTTCCAAGCGAGGGTGGGTTATGTCCCTCAATGCACTACCTGCTATGCACTACCATGGCTTACCTGCCATGAGTGGTCCCTTAACCTGCTGAGCTTAAATTTGGGGAGAACCTTGTATTAAATTAAAGTGTTTCATGATTTATTTACTTTGAACACCTAGATGGCCTTATTACCTACACTTGGCTCTAGGATTGATGTCGAGTGGCTCAAGTTTGTTTATCACTCTTTTGCAGATTCTTGCAACACATGCCTGAAATTTCTTGGCTTTCTTCTTTTCATCTTCATTTTCCAAACTTTCCACTGGTATGGCTGATTTCTGTGTCCACTGATTCCTCTCGAAATCAAACATTTCAACTCCTAATGCTCTTACGTGAACATGACCCCTCTGGGTGATTGTGGTCCCACCCAGCACATACAACTGTCCTGCAAAACACACCATGCTTGCATTGAGTCGAGGTACATTGAGGCTCGGCATCAGTTGCCACTCATTTGTAGCAGGGTTGTATACCTCACAGGAACTGAGTGCTTTATAATTAGAACTGCTTCGTCCTCCTGCTATGTAAATCTTGTCATTCATAGCAGCACCAAAAGCATTGTATCTTTCCTCATTTACAGCTGCAAGTTTCTTCCAATTGTTCTGCCCAGAGTCAAATCTCACTGTTATGTTGCTTTCCTCTCCACTTATTACATACAGAAATTGCTGATCATTTACAACACAAGGGCATTTCTGTAAACTACGTAAGGATTTCATTTCATCCCAATCATTGGTTTCTGTATTGTGCTTGTAGATTTCTATAATGTCTCGTGTGAAGCAAAAAGAGATTGCATATAACTCTCCATTTAAAACAGTGTTACTACCACTACTCAAAAAGATTGTAGCTGGTTGAATTGTTCCCAATGCATTGTTATCTTCGTAGTACTCCACTACCTCACTCTTACCCACCATGTGTACTTTTGAATCAAAAATATAAACTTTACTTTTGTGTTGGGCAAGACAGGGATTGTCATGCTCAAACAGTGTGTCCACAAGCTTATACCAATCATCTTCCAATGGAAAGTAGCATAATGCCTTTTTTCCTCCACAAACAAATATTCCATCAGTGTGCGTCTCCTGGCATTTCCTTGGCTGCCAAGAAGCTTCCCCATCTGTGGGATTCAGCACCGATTTCATAGCATTTATCACAAAATTTGAGCAAAATTCAGGGTTTTCAGTAATCAGTTCCTCATTTACCAGTTCATTAAGTAGAAAGTCATGAGACACAAATGGCAGGCGAACCTGATGCAATAATTCAGGGAAATGTTTTTCTCTCTCACTCTTATTGTGAGACACCCACATCACAATTCCACTGAAAACGTCCTCCTCGGCATTTACAATGACGCCATCACTAGACACCCACTCCAAAACTTGCTTCACATCCAGATTCAGAAAATCTCCTGTTTCCATGACAACACTGAAATCTGAGTTGATCACTTCACAGCATTTTGCCTTCAACTCAACACACTCATACTTATCGGCAAAGTAATAATTAAAAACACAGTTCTGCGTTGTCACTCGGTCCTCTAAAAAATCGCTCACCATTGTTTTTTGGCCTGGCAAAAGAAGATAATTGGCCGTTGCAAGTAAGTTGTGGGCCCTTTCCTCAATGATCGTCACATTTCCTGTATACAGGTACTTTAGCGCATCTCCCACGACGGATTCAGTGGCCTCTTCAAGATCTACTTTGATCAGCTGTTCGTTTCTTTCCTTCATGTCGCTTGTTAGAAGGGCAAGAAAGAACGGGCTGGCTGCCGCTAAAACAGCTCTGTGAGCTTTGAACTCTTTGTCCTTTACAGCGATCGTCACGTCACAAAAGCTGTCGTTGTTTCTCAAGATATCCAGACGCTCGAGAAGTTCTCGAAGATGGTGGAAAGGATATGCAGACATCGGCTCAGCAACACACTCCATTTTGGAGAATGATGCGGTCATGCGGACGTGAAAGTCCCTAACCAGCACACTTTGCGAGGACAACCTCATCCCTTCCTCGTTCCCAGGCATTTTTTTTCCCCCGCCAAAAAAAAAAAAAAAAAATCGCCTGATCGCAGGTTACAAGCGGGGGGAATCGGGATGCCCTTGTTTCGTCACGCAACGTAGGAGCGTTGCCTGACGACAATAAAAACGGCTTAGGGAGCTACAAAGGGTAATTCAAGAATCTCGTCTTTTCGTAAAAAAGTTTTCAATTCACCTGCTTTAAGTGAGAGGAAAGCAAAATATGTAAATTGTTTCTAATTTCTGCTCAGATTTACGCTTTTAATCCACTCGAACCACTTAAGGTTGTCACTACATTTTTATCTAAAACTATAAAAGCTCATATTTAAATAAGCTTAGCTGTTTATAAGCAGAATTCAGATTGACGGTCGATAAGAAGAGAAATCATGCAGGTAATTTACTTTCTCTTCGCACTTGAAAAGTTTCAATGTTTGTTCGAACTGATTAGTGTGTCTTTCTACTTGTGTAACCTTTGTTTATGCGAGTTTTTGTATCACATTTGCTGAATGAAAATGATGTAAACATCTTCGAGATAATCGAAACTCGGCATTTCAATACTTCAAACTACATCAGATCAGTAGTCGGAGAAGGTCATCTTCTAAATCTAATAAATGAGGTATTACTACTTCTGTCTATTTCTTTAATATTTGACATAAGTATTCATGGGCGAAAAAATAAAACCTGTGTATCCAAGACTTTGTTCCCCAATATTTGGGAATTCATATTTTTTGCCCGTTTTTCCATTTATTAGTATATTTTATTTAAATACTAATAAATGCATTTTCTCGCTAAAAAGTCATTTCTTTTTTGCCCGTTTTTCCATTTATTAGTATATTTTATTTAAATACGAATAAATGCATTTCCTCTCTTAAAAGTCATTTCTTTTTTGCTCTTTTTTCCATCTATTAGTATACATTATGTACTTTAATAAATTTGTTTCTTTAACTTTCACCGTTAAAGTTTTTTGCTAAAAATATTTTTACTAGTACTAGTAAAGTTTTTTGAATACTTTGCAAACATCTGATGACCCCCAATATTTCACCCGACGTAATTGCTTCCTTCAAGTATGGAATAATTTGTTCATTGCTCTAAAGATAAGATCACACATTTTTGTGAACTGTGATGAAAACAAGGAAAATCTTTGCGTGTTGTTTCCCACTCCGCCTCTTCTCTCGTAGTCTACTGTCTGTAGTGCAATCTTAACGTTCTGTATTTGCGCGACTCAACCCAATGCTACAAACAAAGGACAACGCTCGTCCAGCCGTAGTTCGCAGTCCGTTGTCTCCGTATCTTAAACTCCCTAGCCAGAATCCCGTTTACTGCACATGTATCAAATAGCCTGCCGATGTCTGAACGTGGGAATTTAGATTTTGTTTGACAAGATTCACGCTCGCAAAACTTTAGCTCTGCATGCCTATTACTCCAACACGGGTAGGATGGATTGTGATACGTCCTATAATTTTTAGCGTAATGGATTCTTCATCCGAAGAAAACACTGGCAGCATTGTACATTTAGTTAGTTTTAGCACAAAATTGTCATTTTTCACTTTTTTTGCGACATTTACTAGCTACCCAAAGAAAGTCAGCTAAATTCTACTGGCGAGGTTTGAATTTAATGAATTTCCAGCTTTAAAATTTTACAGCTATATAACAAATCACTTACAGTACTTACAATTATACTAGTCCCTCGGAAAACAGTAAATTTTGTTTCCCTCGAATCTCAATGTTTCCCTCGTTACCAGTCATGAAGTGTTTATTGTTACATTGTTACGTTTTTCAATGATGGCGGATATCACTGTTAGGGGCTCTTTACATGGAGGGAGGAAGATCCTAGTACCAGGAAGATCCTAGAGGGCGGATCATCCTAGCGCCATGTGTTTTCTGTATTTGGTTTACATGCAAAGGGTTTTACTTGTTCCTGGATCCTAGCATAGCAAAATGTAAACTACGTTCGCTAGGAGGATCCTAGTACTAGTGACAAACCCGACAAAAATAGCGGCGGGTCGTTCATTGGCTAATCACGACAATAGAGACGACCATTTCATTTGGCGTTAGTTATAGCATGAGCTGATTATTGTGATAATTCTGCTGAAAGATAGGTGATAACGCCAGTAAAGAGAGCAGAAGGGCCCAAATTGTATGTTTGTTTTTGTCGTCGGCCATTTTTATTTGTTTCTCGAACCTTCTATATTTGGGCACCACACGGACCCAAATTCCTGCATGTAAACCCAACGTAAAGTTGTTCCGCCTTTTAGGATCTTCCTGGAACTAGGATCTTCCTCCCTTCATGTCAAAACAGCCCCTTAGTGAATCCATTGATTCAGATTCCACCTGGGAAGGGCGTGCAGATAAAAGCCCAATTAATCCTATTGCGGACGCTAAAAGGCTGTGGCAAATCTTGCTACACCCGAAAAAGTTTAAATAGCTACAGAAAGAAAAATCCATGCCAGACGAATCCGGCCGGTAAAAAGCGCTCTACGCGTAAACGAGTAGCTTGACGCAGGCCGGTGCTAATAGATTGCTTTAATAATCACACAGACACAGTAAAGAAAAGTTTCTGGTGTTAACTGTTGAATTCAAAGAGTTCTACTAAATAATCAGTAATAAATTAATTAATGAAGTTTTGTTGAAAAAAGAAAATGCAAATAAAACCTATTTATACTGTGCACGGTCCAAACCACAATAAAACAAACTTCAAGAGCAATCAAGTAAAAAATAGCAACTTTTCGGCAATTTTTTTTAAGGTGGCTCAACTCGATTTTTTAGGGGGATACCTCCCAAGTTTGAGCAGTAACTACGTCGGCATGAGTAAAGATATGGGAAAAAAGGTTACCACAACTGCATTATATAAAGATGTATATTTCTTAAGTTTTATTGCAATCGGAGTCGCCATTTTATTGCAATCAGAGTCGCCATGGCAACGTAATGACGCCATTACTTTTTTTATTTATCTTTGTGTTTCTCTGTACGTGCACAACTCGCAAAAGATAGGACCCTCGGTCACTTTCCGTTAAAACTCTCCGGAATGTGCTAATAACCGGGCAAAGAAGTTAGTGATATATTATAACATCACAGCAACTCATTGTAAGAGTTTCTGTGGTGTTATAACCCGAGAAAGATAATTAAGTATTGCATCCTACACGATGAGCGGTGATGTTCACCGTTTCGGCCCTGGTCGCGGCTCTCACTGCGCTATCCGTGACAAAAGCCATTTATTAGGATATTCCGGACATTTATGCGGAAAGTAATCGAGCGTTTTTTTTATGCAAATTTTTTTTTGCTAGTTGTGCACCTACATTTGAAACTTGAAAACAATGCCAGTGAATAATGAGGACGCTCAATTTTAAACACAAAATCTGAGAGAAAAATTGGTTATATTTGACGACATATTTAAAAGCCTTCCCTGTTTTCAATGTTCTTGAAACTTGCAGGGTATATTTATCGACGATTGATCTGGGGATTTGCAAGACATAGTGTATAAAAAAAATTTATCCAGCGGTTTTTTGAATAATGAGAAATTTGTAGGCATGGACCAAATAACGTGCAAAAACTGTAAAAGCAGTTGAGTGCAGGTTAATCAACTTCGAACTTCCCATCGCCCAGAGCAATTCCCCTCTTTTTCTGTACGCAGTTTTCAATGGAATCAAACCACTATGAGATATAGCCGCGTTTCCAAAGCTCATCGTTTCTTAAAATATTAGCTAATTGTGTTGATAGCATGCTATTTCACTCAGTGTTTTTGTGATTC